CATATATATATATATAAATATTTATATATATTCATATAATTAAAATTCTGTATATTATTTATTTTATTTATATATATTATTTTATTATGTATCACTATATATGCAAATTATGCAAATTATATATATCACGTATGCACATATATCAAGATATGTGACACATAAAATAGATTTGTTTTCAACTTTGCCGCATTGTCAGACATATTTATATATATTATTTTATTATGTATCACTATATATATTATGTATGCAAATTATATATATCACGTATGCACATATATCAAGATATGTGACACATAAAATAGATTTGTTTTCAACTTTGCCGCAAATTATATATTGTCAGACAGAGATATTTCAATAATATTTTCTTATAAGCAAATATTAAATACGTGTTTTTAAACGGATAATAAAACCTTATATTTTTAAAATTTAACATTTTAAAAGAGACTAAATTTGAATAAAATTTTAATTCAATTTAAAAAAAAACAATTATCGAAGTATTCGTAAAAAATATTTAACGATCTTGAAGAAAAGTGGCGTTCGAGTGAAAACAATTTCACTCGTTAATCGAGACTTGCACGGAGTAAGCGATTTTATAATCACTCCGTACACGAAGTAGATTCGCGTGCTGACGTTCGTTTATTCCCGGGGAATAACCGTCCGTAAAAACCGCGGATTATCCGTCATATCCGCGGACAAGTACCTTCGCGTATCTGGCGTCTCCTTATAGGCTGCGGCGCGCCGGTGCGTCTTCTCCTCGCGTAGGTGTGTACCGGCACTATCAGCCTCGGCCTCGGAATAAGGAAACCGCCCTGAGCGTTGCCGGAGGACGGCTGGTTCACCTCGGAGCATTCGCTGTCGGTGGTGCCGGTGCTGCTGGATCCTCTGGATCGCGCATCCTCGTCCCTCGTCGAGGACGGCTCGGCCAGTTTGCCCTCGAGCTGCGACACCACGTCGACGTAGGATCGCCCGACGTAGGGCTCGTCTTCTTGCCTGGCGGAAGCTGATTTTGCCTTGCTGATACCGCTGTCGCCGCCATTGCTGGTCCAGTTGACCCCGCACTCGCGCCAGCTGGCCTCGTAGAGCAATTCCATGGCACGGCCGCGAGTCGCGTCCGGGTCTAGCAGGAGTTCCGGATCCTCCAGGACCGCCCGTCCTGGATAACTCCGTACCTTCATGACCTCCAACTCGCAGCGCTGCAGCGAGAGACAGAGGCGGAGAGCCCGTTCTCCGTAGACTTTCGCCGGCGGTTTTTGCCGAACTACTCGACGCGCGCAAAGGTCAGAAGCTCGACCATCGCTCGACGACAACGCAGTTATTGTCCAGTAAAATGAACCCGGTAATAATGTCTCTTAGATGCGTCCGAGGAAGCGCGACAAGTGGGCGCAGCAGGTAGGCGCGACAGGTGGGCGCATTCTTGACAATTCTTTCCGTTTTTCCACTCTTACGTTCTTGAACGTCGGACTCGAGAAGCAAAACGGAGTATCGGTCCTTAAAATTAATTTATAGAGATAATATCTTGAAACTGACATAAATATATCCGGAACGAGAGACGACGAAGTTCCAAGCAACCGAGATTGGCTTCGGTCCAGGAAAAAGATCGATGATGCTGGGAAGAAAAATCCACTTATCTTCGAACTCGCCGGGGTATTCCTTATAGTCCGCGGATATTTATGGGACGAACAATTCCGACGAGACTGAGAAATAATATTCGACGAACACGGACGACCGTCATTCGCGATCGTTCATTCGCAACATCCGTCCGGCGTCGAGGAACAACGGGCGGGAAACCGGGCCATCTCCGGCCTGTCGATCTCCTGTCAGCTCTCCCAGCTTGAAGACAGGATGCACTACGATTGCCCGAGCTCAATATCCTCGACAAAGCGCGCACCGGTGAGAAATTCCCCGTGACATCTGCGAGGATATCGCCTCTCGAGATTTCGTTTCCTCGCGACTAGGAGACTCTCCTCTCCGATCGATCGCATCCGCGAGAAAAACGGCGTCGCGTCACACGTGGCGTTCCTTTTTAAAACGACGAGCGGTATCCTGTCAAAGGAGGACACCGTAATAACGTCACGAGCGGCGTCGCGTCGCGCCTGACGCTCACTGACAGTATTCCCGACTGGTGAAAATCATGCTCGTGTGAGCGGCGAGAGAGATAGAGAGAGAGAGAGAGAGAGAGAGAGACAGCAGCACCACGAGAGAGACTCCCTTCCCTCGACGAGCTCCAGGAGTCCCCACCATGGACAATATGCTCGTGAGAGAAAGGACAGTGGTTCTCATCTCGTCGTACCCGGCTCGCCCCCGCAATCTCGCTCCCACGATATAATAAAAGCGCAGCCACGTTTTTATGACCGCGAAGATCCGGGAGTCCGAAATTAATGGAGGGTCCTGTACTAACTTCGTTAGCAACGAAGTGTGTTAATTCGACACTAATTCGTATACTGATTTTTCACGCGTCTTCGGGATATTTTTATTTTCACAAGTTTTAGAACAATTGGAAGTGAGATGGGTTTTATAGATTTTGTAAAGTAATCCCTTTTTTTAAGCAAGATTTCTTTCAATTAATTGCTTAATTTTGCAACACTTTCGAAACTTTCTATTTTGTATTCATGCAAAAAACTTATAGCGAACATTTGTTACGGTTATTAAGTTTAGATGAATCGTTGCAGATAAATATAATACTTCTCGTATATAAATATAGAAAAATATAAGAACAATAATTTAAGAGAGAGGAGACAGAATTTTCCATTATATTAATTATACAAAAATTTAAACAATTTTTTTAAGATAGATATGTAAAAATAATATTTACTTTTATGTGTGAATTGAGAGATATTATTAATGCATCATCTTTTTCATTCTTTATATAAATCTTGATTTTGATCTCAACAATTTTTTATCGTATAAACTTTAATTCTGGATATTTAAATATTTATTCGTACAGATTTTAAACAATGAATGATATGTACTGTATATACGAGGCAAGTGCGCTTGCCACTGATTACGTGACTGCAACGACACGGATGAGTGATAACACTAATAATCGGATCAGTTGAGAAAGAAAGAGAGAAAAGCGACTAGCAATGTATTTTTCTGTGAAAGTAAGACACGGCACGTCAATCATTACGAAATCGCATCGGTGCTTTTGTTCAACGGAAATCGAATTCCGGGAGAAAGAGAATTATATAGCCGGAGCTCATATAATCGTGTTTACATAAAACCGAATTTACGTTGATATCCCACGGATCAGTTCTATCAATAAAGATTAATAAATGTTAAATTAATGAATAAATGCAATTTTACTCCGATATTATTTTATTTTTCTTGGAATTTGATTTCCGGCAAAATTAATTTTTACTTTCGGCTGTATAATTAAAATACAGCAAACCAGTTCCTAATTTTAACTGGAATTTTATTATTATATAATTAGCTATCCTGCGATCTTGTTCTGTGTATGCAAAACTCTGCAGTTAACGTAATCTTGCCGATAGCGATAAATAATTGATTAAACAGTTTTAATGTGAATGTAAATTTAAGTCGATGATGAGTGTATACGTTTAATTTGTGTGCGAATTAATTAAAGCTCATCCAATTTTTAGAAGATAATTCTAATTATTTCCGCGTAAGATGAGAAATTTCACGATACCACTGTTGACAATTTAAGTGCACGAGGTTGATTTTTTTTATATATAGGTATAAGAAATAAGTCTCGGAGGAAAAATCAAAATTAACCGCGCTATTTATAATTTCTTTTTTGATTGGGAACGAATATATCACACGCAGCTCTAATAGATAAGCAAGACTGAGTGATGTATTAATACTAGAGCGGGTTGAGAAGGCACACAAGTGCGAGAAACATTGTTTTTAAAATAGCGCAGATAATGTATTACTGTTTTCCATCCTTAATTTTTCATCTACTGACGGTTAAAGCTGTCAACGTCATATATAATATGCCGGAAGTATTTTTTTAACGAGGATATTCCCCGTATTTCTTTTACTTTCTCGTGGATATATTACTATCATTTTATGAATAATTAACGAAATTTTATGAAGCGATCTAATTTTTAAATGTACTATTAATAATGTATTAACATTTATTTTACGTCGCAAAAGTTTTAATATTTGTTAATATTTTGCCACGTTATTTTTATACGTCGTACACATGAGAATATTGTTCCGATGAAACTATACATAAAGATATGTGATTGTATTCACTTACCCTCCATAACAAAGACAATAGAGCCAACATCGCCCTCTTGTATAATGATCGAACCAGCCGGAAACGTAACAGGATACATACAATCGACGATCTCTCGGATTTGCGTGAGCTCTAAATTTTTCATAAAGTCGTTGTCCAGAATGGCAGTCTTGATTAATTCGCGAGACCTTGAAACAAAAGCAGATTCATCATTAAATTTCCCTCTTTTACGTCATACGGAGTAATATATTCTTGCAAAAAAATGAAAAGATAAATAATATTTTTTCATAGTCAATTGCAAGTTGTATTCGTGGATGTGATTGTAAAAATTTACGTAATAAATATTTTCTGATAAACATATTAATAAACGAACATAAAATCTCAAAGCCAGTCAGATGGCAGATGGATGGAACAATAGGTGAGAATAATAAAAAATAGCGCAGACGCAAATTTTTATTATGTCAAGGAAAATCGAAGAGGCGTTACTCTCTCTTTTGGAGGATAAAAAAAAAGGATGTATGACACATCCAAGGCACCATTACTCGTCTACCTTTTCGGCTTGGTGAACCTCATCACCGGTTTCGTCGTGTCATTTCTGAGAGGTTCCGCCGATATGGCCTTTCGTTTCAGTCTCGGATTAGAATTGATGCCGTTGGACGCCAATCTCAAATCGACAATCTGCCGGAACTTATCGATCTCGTTTTGCAGGTGACGGATCGTGGCGTCGCGCTCCTCGAGGACCCTCTCGAGCATATCGACGGTCTCGTCGCGACGTCGCAAGGCCTCCGTACGCTCGTACAACAATCGTTTCAGGTCACGTATGGAATCCATTCTCTTCTATCTATCTCTCTCTTTCTCGTCGCGTGAAATCCGAACGACACTCTCTCCTCCTTCAATATCACGTGCGAGCCATACACCACGAAAATGTCACTCTTTCGTCTTTCGATGAATGTTTTACAAGCGCAAAAACAGGGAAATGCGTGTGCGAGCGAAGTATAAATATTCAAATATATCTATGCATTCAGTTCTTGGTCCTCATCATTTGAACCTAAGACGATGACAGTATTAATGATATTTATATGAATGCTCTAATCTTGATCATCAATCTCGAAGCAACGTCCCATTTTTCAGAATATTTATATAATTAATTAATAAAATTCTGGCTATTTTCCAAAGATATTTTCTAAAATTTTTATTTTTTATTAGACACCAAAAAAAAAATTCTGCGATTAAATGTAAAAGATGAGCATCCGAAGACGTAGCAAGTTCATTTTTTTCTCGCCAGAATTCTTGAGAAAATGTCAGATTTTTAAGACAAAAAATTTCAACTTACAGGAAATAAAAAAATTTTCATATATTCGACACATGAAATATTCAGTAAAATTTATACGCTTTTAAATGTCAATCGTAATTGCAAGGACAGCCGGGAACAAAATTTGAGTTTGTCATAGTTCAAGAGTCGAAGACGATTCCAAAAGCTAGTCAGATATATTTATTTCCTCTGTGTAATAAGCCAAAGTTAGAAGCATCGATTACATAAGAAGTTGGAAACGAACGGATCTTCTTAAAATAACAAAAAGTATAATTTAGGAAATTTTGTTGGTAGAATAAAAATATATGTGGCTGATATTATCACGAAAAACAGATTTGTACTGTGCATTGTTTAGAATAAGATGCATTTACAAATATAATTTGTAATATTTTTACAATAAAATTGTGATTGCAACAGAACGCGTCTCTAACATGAAATTATTAGCAGATTGTAAAAACTTTTACATCTTATATAACCGTTTAATAATACATTGTCGGTAGTAGCTATATTTAACTACTTCGTTTGCAATCATATTGCAATTGAGAGGAAATAATCATTTGCCTTCAACAAATTCCACGTTAGCAGTTCCTCAAGTTCAGTATTTCTTCTCGTATGGTTCACATGTTTCTTGTGAAAAAAGAAAGATATATATATATATTTAAATATATAAATATATATATACATTTTTTTACATTGTCCATAAAATTCAATAATAAAACTATATATATAGTTTTATTATTATATGGACAATGTAAAAAAAAAAAAAATGCAAATAAAACGATTCAATAAAACTGAACCGGAAATATGTAAGTTAATCTATAAATCAATAAAAAAGGCGCTGAAAATGATTTATAGTTAAATATATCACATTTGTTTACATGCATAAATTAATTTGAAAAATTATTGTTTGCACGATATTGTCATTAAACTTAATGACAATAGATAAAACAATAAGAGCGAATATTGAAGCGAATATTTCCCCTTCTCAATCTGCTCCAATTAAAGGAATCTATATTACTGACGTTTAAAAACGACGCGTACAATAATTCACTCTTGTTTCGTTCTTTGTTGCTGAATTATTACCGAAAAATGTCGCACGATACATGAGCGAGGCTAAACTATCAAAGCTTGTATTAGTATCTCGGGAAATATTAGGTACATGTAACCGGGTATTCCCTTAGTTTATTGAAGACATATGTCTCATCACACACAGAGAATCTCCGTCGTTTCTTCCAGACTTTTTATTAAACGTTGCTCAATTTGGCGCAGATCATCAGCGCTTCGTTCAATCTGTTCTAATCAAGCGATCTACACAATCTACAGCATCGCGCGAGCTATCAGTATCAACTCACTCGCGTGTCTCGCGTGACCGCTTGTTACATCAACCGAATCAAGAAGTAAATGTATCGTAAAAAAATATCGATATCGAACGATATCGATCTAATACCGAAGGCTTTTGCAAAGAATCTATTCTGGACACTGGAATCCACCTTGATATTCCGATTAAATGATCGCAAATTTTTCGAACATGCAATCAAATAGCCAAGCTTCACGTTCACACTTTATCCGTAAATGGTATTACATACGAAGTTATTACATAGAGACGTTTTCATTGCATCATCAGCGATGGAAACAACCGATTTATCGAACGGTGAAGGATTTAGACCAATTAACTTCTTCACGTGAAGGCTCATTTCCTTTCGCAGGATCCATAAGCGTCAGTTGAACCGTAGTTAACTTCAACTACTGCTCATGAGAATAATTTAGAAGAAATCGCGAGTTTAACGGTACATTCGCTTCTGAAGAGAGGGTTGCTACCGACATAATTCGCTGACACGGGCTCACCTTCCTATTACAAGAGAGTACGCGAAAAAGGATCAATTATCAAGGATCACTCTCGCACATTTTTAACATCAAAATTTGAGCTCACCCAAAATGATACCGAGTTTAATCAATATTAATAGCGTCCTCGAATCAAATTAAAGATTTGACGGACACGGATATCGCGATGGGCGATATCGCACGAGGCGCGAACTGTCACTCCGAACTGTCACGATCGAACTGACGATCAAAGAGGAGCACGCGTGCGGAACCAACAATGAGTATGTACACGCGGAGCGTGCGGAGGAGCCGTCTTCTTCGGGTTCGCGTGTAGGACCGGCAACGACTAACGATCCTGTAGTACGCGAGCCGGCTATTTTTACGTTTTAATCACGACGACTCTCGCGGCTTCTCCTCCAAACTCCCGCCATCGCGTTTGGCAGCCAATTAAAAAAAAAATGTTCTCTCCTTTCACCGATCATTTCGACCCTCCGATCGTCGCTCCTGGCCGGTCACCGCTACGATTGTACGTGCTGATCTATTCGCGAATATACGTGCGTTTACTATTACGCATTGACAATGGCGTAGGAGAAAGGACCATCCTCTCCGTCGAAAAGAGTTTGTGTTTTATTTCTTCATTAGCGAGTGATTTTGAAATTTGATTCTGTGAGACTTGTACATTTTTCATTTATTGCCTTTTATTAATTCGCATTTTTACTAATTCAATTGATAATTAAAATTGCTTTTCGTATCTTATCTTATAATAATAGAATAAATAGACATTAAAGTATGAACGAAACAAAAACGAGCAAATCTCTAAAGGACTTTTTGTCTTAGTTTATCGGTCCCCTACACGCTCCTAAAGTTTTGACATTTAAATTGGGGACACTCCGTATATAGTTAAAAAGAAATATTATCCTGATTTTGTGATAGATAATAATATATTTCCTTCCCAGATAAAAAAATATATATTTCGTCAAGATTCTCGAATCTACTCTTTAAAATTAATGCCAAAATTAATACTCGTTATATTACGCCATTGACTACACTTTGTCAGTCTACTTTGCGTTGGCGAATGTGCTTGGAGCGATTTATTATGCTCGTACCCAATGCGTCCTACATACGAAACCGGCCTTTAACCGGGTACGGCCCTGACGGCTTCCTTGACTTTGGCACGTCGACGTTAACCGCCAAGAGAAAAAGGTGTCTCTCTTACAAGGCGCGAGGAAAAATAATCGAGTGACTCTTTACGGCACGTGTTTCCGCAGGCGATTCTCTAAAGCTTTTCACCTAATATCTATCGCCGATTTTGCAATACATTCATTAGAGGCTTTATTTCCGAAGACAATTATTTTCCTTGGATAAAGTTCCGAATAGGTGAACCCTCCGATTTTTTTAAAACTACACTATTTTTTGTATTTTTTAACGCTGATTACAAATATGATAATGAAAATTTGCGACAAGGTCATTTTCAAGGTCAAAACTCAAAAAAACTGAAAAAATATAACTTTTTAGACATTATTTCAATAAATATTGATGTAACAAAAAAAATGTTTCAAATAAAAGTTGCAGTTCTTAAAAAAATACATCATTTATGTTCTATAAATTTTTTGCGTAAAACTGAAAGTTTTCGAGAAAATCGATGTTAAAGACTAAAAACGGCGGGTGAAGTTCCGAAAAACTAGACAAATAGATTTGCGTGGAACTTCGCTCTGCGTGGAAAGTTGCAAACCCATGTGGAACCTCGCTTCGCGTGGAAAAGTGTATGCGTGGAAACAGAGGGTTCCACCCCTCTGTGGGGGCTCCACTACCAAAATACTAGACAAATAGGTTTGCGTGGAACCTCGCTCTACGTGGAAAGTTGTAAACCCATGTGGAATCGTATATGTACTGCAAAGTACATGCTTAGATGGGAGAACAGATATAAGATTTAGATTCCATCGTTTTTGTTGAAAACTATCGTACGGTAAAAATTAATAGGACATAAAATGTTTTTCTCTGTAAGATCTAAAATTGTTATGGGTTTTTCATGATTTTCACTATGAAAATGAGAGA